CTGCCCTGGGGGAGGCCCGGGGGGGGGGGGCCTTGTGAGGGAACAAGTTTTCAGAGTGAAGGTCCTTGAAGGTTGAGGTGGGACAGGGCAGAAGCACTGCAGGGGCGGGGACAACATGAACAAAGGCATAGAGAGTGGAGAATGGAGATCAGATCTGCGGACAAAACAGTTTGGTGTGGCGTCGGTGAGTGATAGGCTGGAGCCATGAGCAGAGGGCTGAGGAGTATGGATTTTCTTCTGTGTGCAGAGGAACAGTGGCGGCAGCTGAAATGTATTGTCCTTGAATATAGAAATCATGTCTGTCTTTGTACAGATCCTAGCATATGGTCAGTATCTAATAAAGGTCTATTGAATTAATGAAATGTGTATGATAGTTTGGAGAGACTGAGGCAGATATAAGGTGTTTCAATCATCCCAACCCTCAACGACTTAAATCGATGACAGCATTTATTTTGCTCATAGGTCTGCCATTTGGGCCGGTTCCACCAGGACCACTTGTGTCTGCTCCACTCAGCTTGGGACTGAAAGGCTCATTCACTCACATTTGGTGTCTGATGCTGGCTGTCAGCTGGGCTCTCAGGACCAGGGCCAGAATGCCTACATGAAGCCTTTCCTCGTGGCTGCCTGGCTTCCTCACAGCGTGGTGGCTGGGTTCCAAGGGCAAGTGTCCCAAGAGAGGTCCAGGCAGCAGCTGTACCACTTTTAATAACAACCTACAAAGTCACACAAAATAACTTCTGCCGTAATCATGGCCCATCAGATTCAACGAGAGGAACATAGACCCCTACTTCTCAATGGAGGAGTGTCACTGACATAAGAAAAGCATGTGCAATGTGATCTATTGGCATGAGCATCTTGGAAAAATATAATCAGCTACATGAAGCTGTGCAGTAGTCCAGGGAGAGATGTGGGAGACGTGAACGAGGCTAGAGGTGATGGAAAGGGGCCCGTTTGTTGGGTCACTGTAGGAGGATCGCTCAATCTCACTTTCCTTACCTGTAAAATGAGGGGACCAAACGAGCTGATCTCTGAGATCCCTTCCAGCCCCAACAGTGAGTGATTCTTTAATTCTCCACAACCACATCCTCCACCCATCAGCCGACTCTCCATTTTTCCTCAATACCCGCCTCCACCTCCACCTCCTACCTTTGTTCTCTGATCGAGGTGCCCTTGAGGCCAATGGTTACTCCACAGATAGGACCCTGGTCCATCCTACATGTTTATTTCAGACTAAAAATAAGTGGAGTGGGAGACACCTTAAGGGCA